ACAGAACAGGAGGGCTGACAGATGGTGGCCTCATAGCACACAGGTTGGGCACAGCTGGTCACAGAACAGGAGGGCTGACAGATGGTGGCCTCATAACACACAGGTTGGACACAGCTGGTCACAGGACAGGTGGGCTCACAGATGGTGGCCTTATAGCACACAGGTTGGGCACAGCTGGTCACAGGACAGGAGGGCTCACAGATGGTGGCCTCGCAGCATACAGGTTGGGCACAGCTGGTCACAGGACAGGAGGGCTGACAGATGGTGGCCTCATAGCACACAGGTTGGGCACAGCTGCTCACGAGACAGGAGGGCTGACAGTGTTGGGAGCCATAGCTAGATGATCCGCAGCTATCTTGACAAGTCACCAGTTGCCACTTCTGGCTCCGGCAGGAACTGGACAGGCAGACAGGCCCTCCGCAGCTCACGTCAGTGGAGCAGAGAGAGATGGCTGGCACAGAGGGGCATTTCCCAGAACAGCTGTTTCCAGACATGGTGGAGGTGCCTCTGCTTCCTTGAGAGTGATGAGAGGTTACTGCCTGAGCTGAGAGAGCTCTCCGAGGCCCTCGCTTTTATACCCCCTCACTGGCACGTGCTGTTTGGAGCCCCTGCATCTTTTCCTCATTGCTGTTTGGGCCAGTTTTCAGAGGAACATCTTATTATGGCCAGGTTTGTTGATCTGGAATTGGTTTGCCTACCAATAAAGAAGCTGTTTGTTTATTGACTTGCTAAATTTGGAATCCTCAGAGCAACAGGTCATTTTGGAATAAGCATCATCACCTCCAAGCTGAATGATCTGTGTTTCTGAGCATAACGAACAGGGGAAGAAGAAAGGAACTTATCATTTATCCATCTTCTAGTCCTCTGTTCCAGGCCCTGGGCTGAACACAGGAGATGCCCACATGAATAAGACCTAGTCACTCATTCTCCTGGATCTCACTCTCTGGTGGGCAGACAAGCATGCAGGCAAACTCACTGCAATGCAATGATAAACCCAACAATTGACACACAGGGATGGGAAAGAGGAGCAGCAGTGAGCTCTGTGGGAGAGGGGATATCAGGGCTGGATTTTAAATGACTGTGCTTTACAGTCATGATGTAAAAAACAATGTAAAAAATCTTATTTGAAACCATCCACAATCCCATGAGACAGGAATTCATCTCCCCTCATTACAGGTGACGAAAAGGAAGGGGGATTGGAATCAGAAAGTTTCAGTCACTTGCTAAGGATCCCACACAACTTGCCCCCTAATCTAGGGCTGCTCTCCTTCCTCCTCACCACACTGTCTGAACCAATCTTTCTCAAGAGGCTTTGTCAAAGCCACATGTCACAGGCTCAGCCCACAATGCTATCCTTCATCCTGTTCTGTGAGCAACTCTGCCACAGACCACTGGTCTACCTGGCCCTGGAAAGCACTTGACCTAGCCTCTCAGCATCTCCTCCCTCCTTTCCTTCCACCCAACCCGACCTCAAGCATTCAGTAGTCCTCCGGAGTCCTTCTTGCCGTGATTTTAACAGCTCCCCAAAGAAAGACACCTCCAAGATCCAAAGAGAAAAGAGGAGAGACAAGAGGTCTTTTGCAAAGACATTGTGAACAAAAGCTTTCTCAAAGCATTGTGTCAATGCTACTACTTGGGACAGACACGAGATAAGAAACAAACCCTAGGTTTCTAAACATTAAGGTCCAACATCCTTTCTCAGTGAAGGAGCTACCATGCCTCCACAATGTGCTTTCAACATCAATGCAAAAGGCAACCTCTCCTTCGGAAAAGCTGAACCACTGTGCCATCCATTCATCTCTCTTTTCATTCATTAATTTATGCAATCATTAACTCAGTTTCTCTTTTATTCACCCATTCAGCTCACCCATTCATCTATCCTTTGTGTGAAGGATACAAAAAGAATGAGTTGCAATTCCTGCCACAAAGAGCTCAAGTTTAGAAGAGACACAGATACAAACACAAACAATTATGGTACAGTATACGTACAAGTACTACAACAGATGGGTGCACAGCCTGCGATGGAGGTACCCAGGAGAAACACCAACATGGTTTTGGGGAAGTTAGAGAAGGCTTCTCAAGTAATAAGATGGCCAAATTGAATCCTCAAGGCAGAAGGATGAAAAGGGGCGTAAGGGCAGGAAAAATCAGCTGTGGTAACCAAAGACACAAGAGGGTGATACATTTGGGGAGCAACAAAGAGTTTCATAGCCAGGATGAAAAGTGCAAGGAGACAGGGAGGGACAGTGACGGGACTAGGGGGTTACCAGGCTCTCAGTCATGAAAGGCCTTGTGAACCATGATCAGAAGTTGGCTTTTATACTGACACCAGGGAGTCTTGAGCAGGGGAGTAACTTGACCAGGTTTGCCCTTTGGAAAGGTCTTTCTGGCTTTGGAGAAGGAGGGCAAGTCTGGAGGGAGGGAGATCATTAGGGGTCCAGGGCAATTACCCAAAATCTTCGTGGTGACGGACTGAACTGGGCAGTACCTTGGGATTAGAGTGATATGAGGCAGATTCTACAGGATTTAGCAGTTAAAAGCGGAAGATTAGGAACTAGCAGTGCCATCCTTTAAGATGTGGCTCCTAGGCAGTGGGGAAAAAGGACTTTGGACAGCTTTGCAGAAGGTAAGGCAAAGAAGGACTCCCCAAAAACCACATTTCCAGCTCCTTCCCAGCTCCTCTCCTTTCCAGCTCCTCTCCTCCATCCACCTTCTCCTCTTCAGCAATGAAATTGCAGATGGAGATGGTCCTCCTCCAAAAAATCCCTTATAAGCTCTCTCAGCTGACAAACTTACGTAGCGTCATCTATAATTCTGGAATGTCATCTCCTCAAAGAATCCCTCCCTGCTAAATGAAATAAGACACTCTGTTAACTATCTAGCCCATTCCCACTTTATTCTTTTCTGTAGTTCTGGTTCCCCTTGACATACTAAGCACAAGGAAGGCAAGGATTTTGTTTATTCACTGATGTATACACAGCACCCAGAGCAGTGTTTGATACATAGGAGGGTTACAATTAATATTTATTAAGTGAAGGAAAGAATGAGGAGCTCTATGGACAGCTAAGGAAGGCAATTCGCTGTCAGTAATTCAAATAAATTACTACTCTCTACTCACCCATCTGGGAGACCATGGCCATGAGCAAGGGAAGCATCAGCCACCCTGAATCACAACCACTCAGTGCAGACCCATTGGCCCCTTGGCAACTTTGTCCCATTGGCACATTCCTGCTCTGGCCATGGCTTTGTCTTGGAGGTTAAAGAGCCAGTTCTTAGTACGCTAATTCCAGCTAGAGCAAAAAATGACCTAAATAGCAGAGCCTGAAACTCAACCAGGACAGACTCAAATCTCAAATTCTCTCCAAAGGCAAGACACTATTAATAGTGGGTTTTTTAATGAAACCAAAAAAAATGAAAACACAATGAGCTTCCATTATACACTTGCTAGAATGGCTAAAAATAAAAAGACTGACAATATCAAGTGTTAGCAAGGACATAGAGTAACTGGAACTCCCAGACATTGTTGGTGGGAACACAAAATGGTACAGCCATTTTGCAAAACGGTTTGGTCGTTTCTTATAAAGTTACAAATTCACTTACCATTCACCTAGCAATCCAATTCCTTGGTATTTCTCCAAAATAAATGAAAACATATGTCCACACAAAAATTTGTACATGAGTGTTCAGGGCAGCTTTATTCATAATAACAAAAAATTGGAGAGAACCCAAATGCCCATCCGTAGATGAGTATTTTTTAATGTAGTTTATTTATACAATGTAATACTATTCAATAAAAAGGAAAGAACTATTGATAGCTGCAACGTGATGAATATCGAAAATGTTATTTTAGGTGAAAAAGATTTCACACTGTATGATTTCGTTTATATGAAATTCTAGAAATGGCAAAATTTATAGTGAAATAAAGCAGATGGATGGTCACCTGAGGCTGGGGTCGGGGGTGAGGAGTGTTGCCTGCAAAGGGGCACTGGGGAATTTGGGGGTGATGGAAAGTTCTGTATCTTGAGTGCAGTGGTGGTTACTTAAGTATATTCAATTGTCAAATCTCATCAGACTGTGTACTAAAAATGGGAACACTTTACTGTATGTAAATTATATCTCAATAAAGTTGGCTTATAAAAAATGAAACAATTTTTTAAAGGAAAAAAGTAAAAGCAGCATAATTCCAGTTTTATTTATAAATATGCTTAGAAAAAAGTCTGGAAAGATATACATCAGTAATAAACTCTGAGTGGCAAGAATTCAGGTAGCTATTATTTCTTCTTTATATTTTTCTGTATTTCTTTATATTTTTAGGGATCATTGCTATGCTTACAATCAGAAAAAAATATTTTTGTTTGTTGAATGAAACATAGCTTGTAGGAATAAAAATAAATATTGTTCTGTCAGGGCAAGAGCAGAATTAGTTTTATTCCACTTGCAGCTCAAGGTCACGTTTAGCAAGAGGTTGAATCAACTATCTTTTGAATTTTAACCTTCCAGATGGACCCACACACACCTGAGTCAGGCCCCGCCTCAGAGATGTACATTCACTTCTCTCATCCCTGGGACTCGAGCTGAAGAAATACAGCTGGTTCCAGGACAAGAAAACCTACCCCAGAAAAGGGAGACTTCGCCAAAGCATGAGGCTAGAGGAAGGAACCAAACTTCCCAGAACATTTTTAGAAGCTGTGTGTTCTCAAAGTTTTGAAACAGGAATCCCTTCCACTCAGAACCAAGCTTGTTTTACCAAGGCCTCTTCTACTGACTTTGCTAGAAAGTTCTCACCAAACCTGAAGCCCTCCTGCAGAACCGTTCCGGGAGAATGCAGATGGAAGCCATGCCCCTCGTTTAAGGTGAAACTTGGCCAGCATCAGCATTCACCGGAGAGCTTTCAAAAACACAGGTGCCAGAGCCCCCATCCTAGAGTTAATGGATAAAGTCTCTAGCAGCCCAAGGATCTGTATTTTTAAAAGCCTCCCCGAGTGAATCTCATGCAGCACGTGGAAGCTTTAGTCTGCTTCTATGGTTCCCAAACTTCAGTGCATAAGAATTATCTGGGGTTCTTGTTAAAAATACAGATTGCCAGGCCACACCCTGTGGATTCTGATTCTGCATGTCTCAGGGAGGGCTCCCGAATCTCCACTTTACCTAGCCCCCAGGTGATTCTGATGCAGGTGATCCACAAACCACATTCAAAAACCCTATTGTAGGTGCCAGAGTACATTTTCCCGGCTCGGTGTCTAAGAGGGAGCTGAAGGAAGAGGCTGGAGAACTAATTTGGTTATGCAGCATGCTTGAATTTATTGGGAAGTTAACAGAGAAGAATTTTTGTATCTCAGAAGCAGCAGAAAGCTGGGAGGAGGCCTCAGTCCCAAAGAAACCTTGAGTAAGAGGATGCCTTATAGTGACAAGACATTTAAGTTCATGAAAATTAAGTCATGGGGGTTCACCCTTTGAGCTTCAGGGATCACTTTGGGTGAGACCCAGTTTTAGTCCTCACCAGCATGGCTCTTGTTCTTAGTGCCTTGAACACCAGGGCAGGCACTGGAGAACAAGCCCTCCTCTACAAATAACGCCCAAGGCAGGACACTGTCTTGGGGGCCTGGAAGGTCCTGGAGACAAGGGGTCTCCACCTGAAGCAGATGGAGGTTTCGTCCAGACTGCCTCAGTGGAGGGGAGCAAGGTCTTCACTTCGTGTCGCAGACAGGCGTGGGCTGGCAGCAAACAGGGCCGCAGCACCCCGAGGGGCCACAGCAGCCAGAGCCGCAGCAGGTCCCGCAGCCAGATCCGCAGCAGCCAGACCCGCAGCAGCCGCTCCCGCAGCCTCCACAGCCAGAGCCGCAGCCACAGCAGGACCCGCAGCAGGACCCGCAGCAGCCACAGCAGGCCGGCTGGCAGCAGCACACTTCACAGCAGTCTTGTTCTTGAGGGCAGCAGCCGAAGCAGTCCCCTGGGCAGCACCCCATGGTCCCGGCTGGTCAGGCGGCAGGTCAGGAACGCGGCCGGAGGTCCCCAAGTCTGGCGGTGGCCAGCTGACAGCAGCATTTATATCCCCTCCCCAGAAGGTGTTGGCACAAGGGACAGGATGTTTTCTTTGTTATTATTTATGCCAGGTTTCACAGGAACGTCTCATTAGCTGCCTGTTTATTTTCCAGCCCTGAGTACCTCAACTCATTAAAAAGCCCCACTCGTCCCGACTGCTGTTTGTCCAGAGGGTAAAAACACATCTTCGAAAAGACCTGTCATCATGGCCAAACATGGGCCAGCCACTGTTAGCCTAGGTTGCAGAGAGGAAAGGGAAGCTGGCTGCAGGCTCTGGCTCTGCAGTGGGCGCTCCTCTTCCACGCCTTCTCTCGTGGCAAGGTGGCAGTGGACCCTTTTTGTCATGGATGCTAGACCTGGAAAACCAGAACAGCCAAAGGTGGATGCCCTGTGCCATCTGCTGCAGGCAGAGGCTGCTGTAGGAGGTCTGGTCACGTGGCTCCTCCCGGGTAGAAAGGGCATCCTCATCCCAGCCCATGTGAGCAAGGCAAATATTTGTGTCTGTGTGCAGTATGTGGAGTGTGCTGCACATTTGTTTGGGCTTGGTCAGCCAGCATCAATCATGAGTAATAACTGCTCTGTGAAATGGAGACTCACCATAAAACTGCAAGAGACTGGGAGCCATGTTCTCTCTGGGCTGCAAAGTGAATTGGACACTCACGCTTCTCTTTAAAGGGGCTGGAAGAGCAATGGTCAAAACCTGCCACACCCCAGACCCAGAGATTTTCTGAATAGAGGAAGGAGGAGATGGAGAAGGAGGAGGAGGAAGAGGAGGGGAAGAGGAAGGAAGGAAGGAAGGAATATCCTTCCTTCAATTCATTCAATATCATTGAATATCCCAAACATCGCATTAAAATGGGAATGTTGTGTGCTTTTTTTAAGAGCTCCAGCTTTAGAGCCCGTCTGGCAGAATGAGGGATTAGTGTACAAAATACCCAGAGTATCATGCCAGGGAGTAAAATGCCTTTGGAAGAAGACTAGAATCTACAGAGGATTCAGGTCCACATGTAAATTCTGACGTGGGTTAAAATTCCTGTCAAGGCTCCTTTCAGGCCCTTGGTACCTTGTTATGATCTTGGAATGATCATGGCAGCCCTGGAGCCTACAGGCTGTGCCCTCTGGAAGGCAGCACCCAGAGAAAGGGAGGTGGAGTGAGAGGTGGGGATGGAAGGTGGCAATGGGCTGGAGACCTGGGTCAAGGGACACTGCCCCTCCCTTTTAATTCCCTCCCCTTGGTAGATGGGCCTGGAGGTAAGGCTTCCTCTAAGATGGGTTAGAAGGACTGAGAACGGGGGTGAAGGGAATGGAGAGGGTGGGGGTGAACAGGTTACTTGGATCTGTTATGACTCGCAGGACTTTACGGGATATGGAATTTTAGACCTGGGGGGAACCCCAAAAGATCATGTGCTCCAGGGTTTCTAAACCAGATTTTACATTAGAATTGCTTAGGGTGGGGGCTTTTGAAAAATACCGATCCCCAACCTGTACCCCAGTCCTGTTAAATTAGAGTATGTGCTCATGGGAGCTTGAGAAGCTAGTATATTTTAAAGTTTCCCAGATGACTCTGATTATCAAATAGGTTAGGAAACATTGATATAATTTAATGCCACCATGACCATCACCCCCAAGAACTTTTTTTCTACAGAAGATGATACCAAGGCCCAGAGAGGACACGTTAATGATAGATTGGACCCATAACCCAGATGTTCTGTGTCCTGGTCCAGAGTCCCTTCCACTACTCCATGTCCACAGATGGACACCTCTGGGTAAGGATAACACAGCAATGTCCACTACAGACACTCCTCTTTATTCTTTTTTAATAGTAGGTGATTCATTTACATGGGAAAGGTGCAAAAGATTATGCAATGAAAAATCTCCCTCCTTCTCCTGTGTCCCGCCAGTCAAGTCTCTCGTCTCTCACCCACCATCCCCTCTGTGCCTGAATTTCCTCATCTATAAAGTGGAAATGATGATAATAATAGTGCCAACTTCACGGTGCAGTTGTGAGGATTAAATGAATTAGTATATGTATGTATAAAGCACTTAGAACAGTGATTGGCCACATATCGTTTGATAAACATTAGCTATTATATTATTTATAAACAAGAAGATAAATTGATAGATAAATGCATAGATGTATAGATATCAATATGGTGTTGTTCATTACCCCAAAAACGGTAGCGTAATATACACACTGTTTTTAACTGTTTTTTTCCTGTTAACAAGGTGTCTTAGAGATGGTTCCATATCTACGTTCCTCATAGTATTCTGTTGTACTGATAATTTATTTAACCAATTCTCTATTGAAAGACATTTGTTTCTAATATTTCTAATATTTGTATCTTTAATTTTTATCTCTATTTTATTCTATTTTAAGCTTTAATTTTTAAAATATTTTGCTATTATATAACTGTTTGCTTACGTCATTTTCATGTATCTGATATATTCCTCCTATAAACTCTGGATCAAGAGAAATTGATGGATCAATGAGCTTTGGCATTTGTAATTTTGATGGGTGTTGCCAAATTACCTTCACCAACTTACACTCCCATCAGCCATGCGCAAGAGGACCTGTCTCTTCATACTTCACCAACACAATGTGTGATCAAAGTCTGTGACCTTGTCAATCTGATAGGAGAAAGATAGGATCTTGGAAGAGTTTTAATTTTCATTTCTATCATTGTGCATGAAATTAAGCAATATTTCGTATGCTTAAATGCTATTTATGTTCCCTCTTCTGTGAATTCTTTTCACATCCATTGTCCACTTTTCTAGTGGATTGTTGGTATTTTTCTTTGATTGATAGGGATCCTTTGTGAAATAGAAAATAAAAGCTTTGTCTGCATTATGAGTTATAAATATTTTTCTCAGGACGTCATTGGCCTTTGATGCTAATAATAATAATGTTTATATTAAAAATTACATATCTGCTTACTGTGGAATTTCTGGAAAATATAAAAAATTAAAGACAAGAAAATAAAAATCATCCATAACCCATAACCTCACAACAAAGATATTTACTGCTAATATGTTAGTTTCCCTTTTAGAGTTTTTTCTAAGGATTTGCATATACATATTGATATGAATGTAGATAGCTATACATATAAGCATATATATATCAGGTATGAATTTCTAAATCCATGTTCTAAGGTATGTTAAAAATATATAACTTTTTCTCTAAGACTGCTTAAACCTATTTCAAGCCTTCACTCTAGCTTCTGGGATGAGAAAAGTCAGTTCTGTACAAACTCAGAAATCATTCAGAATTTCTCCCTCCCCATCCTTCATCTGGAGATGATATCTGAGCTTTGGGGGGCTTGGACAGTATCATAGGATTAAAGAGGGTGACAACCGGTTCACAGTGGGCATCCACTGAAATGTACATGGTGCTCTCTTATTCTTGGCCACGGTCCTCCCCCTGATGGCACCAGCTGAGATACCCGAGTTCTTCCGGCTCACCATGAATTCTGCATCCTTTCATCACCCCATCTGGGAGGCCCCAAGGTCTTCTGTGTCTGACCACTCACTCTCCTCCGCCACAGAAGTCTAGTTTGAATTACATAAGGTAAGCGTTGACTTGAATCATTCTCTCTGCATTTCTACAGTAATAACCCTACCCTGGGGGCAGTGGATATAAAAAGACCCTACTGATGCCCAAGTTGTGAGGAAAGAGCAGCAATGAAAGAAATTGCAGAAGAAAGGTAAGACTAGTGAATACTTCAGGGTTTCATCCGGACACATATTTTTACAAAATCAAAACCATACTGTGTGAATTGATTTATACACTGAGTATTGTGCTTAGCCTGAGAAAATGCTCATGAATGTGTTGATTACTAAATATTATGAAAATTTGGGAATTTATATTTTCACGTTGACGTAAACCTTCCCTATTGTTGGATATCTTTGTTTCCAATTTTCCAATATTAAAAGCAAAACACCAAGATGATCTTCCTGAAGTGTGACTCTTTATGCATCTTTCGTATCTCCCTAAAATAAATTCCTAGAAACGTAATTACTGAATCTTCAGCATATTAATAATTTTAAGGCTATTAATAAATATTGAAAAATCATCCTCCAGAAAAATTATCCCCATTTGCGCCCATTTCACAGTGCCTTCACCAATACCAGTTGTTATTTTTTTAATCTGTCAAGAGATTTGTAATGATTATACTTCAATCACGAAGTCTCATTGTAGTATTTATTTGTACTTAAAGCTACTCATCTTTCCTAATTTATTTATAAGAGTTTATTTTATGCTAAGTATATTAACTTTCTTTTCTGTCACTCACACATGTTGCAAAATTTGTCCCAGGGTATCATTTTCTATTAATTATGTCAATGATACTTTTATGCATAGAATTTTCTTTTTATATAGACAGACTTATCTATATTTTCTTTTCTGCTGCCTTTATGCCTGAAACTTCTTCACCACTCCCCAACGAGACAACTTTTATTTTCTTTTAATTTTTATAGTTGTATATTTTACACTTAATGCTGTTACTCATCAGGAATCTATTTTGGTGTGTGGCAGATACTGCTTCACAAAAATGCCCTGGTTCTCCTAATTGGGGAACTTGAATGCCTATTAAATGAATGCTTAGTGTGCAAGCAAGAACAGGATGGGGAGGTAGGGCAGGAGTCATTAAAACGTAGGCATGGTGCCTGTTCTGGCGGCCTCTAGTGTTCATCAGGTGACACTACACCTGACCTTCTGGTGTTTTTTGTAGAGACCATCACAAGAGAGGCCCTGATTCTGGCTTCACCAGGAGCAACTCAAAACCTTGATTTGATGTGAGAAGCTTATTGTATTTACATTGCACTGATTTAAATGATGTGTCCGATTAACCATCTCTAGGCAAATGAGGTATGTTTTCAGCCCCTCCCATGTGCCAGGCACTGCACTAGGCACTTTATATGTGTTTTCTTGGTTAATACTCAAGATAACTGTATACAATAAGTATTATTATCCATATTTCCTACAGGAGGAAACTGAGGCTCATAG